CCCTCCAGCAGACGCCAAGTCTTTTTCCCGGTTTTCTTCAAGGGCTGGAATCTTTCCTCGCACACAGGACGCGTGTCCTGCCTCCTTGGCTGAAAGCCAGTTGTCAACAAAGGAACAGTTAGAGTATGACCAACTTACTGTCTCTTCCTTCATCTTCCCTCCACCCCTCAAATTGTTTCTCATTATATTTGGGGAGAGTAGAAAAAAGTGCTGGCGCTACAGAATGTGTTTACCATTTAGGCCCACACAGAATTTTCTAGAAAGAAGGTGGAGCCAAGAAGGTGGTGGGTGTTTGGCCTGCTCTGGTGGAAGGAGAGGGTGAGGTGCCGCCAAGACTGTCTTGAGGGGTCGTCACCCTGCCGGGTCTGCACCGGGACACCAGGGTCTGTTTGTCCCTCCAGGGTGGCAGCAGACAGGGAGTCATTCCGTGGAAGGTGGCGAAGTGGATGCTGCCCCTGACACATACCTGTGGACCATCAGGGAGGTCATTTGCCTGAACAAAGAGCACTTACAGGATATTAAAAAAAATCTTTTCTACAAATTCCGAACGGATTAAGTGTGGAAGGAGCAGATGGGAGAGGCTCTAATTTAAAGAGGGCCTGGGGTGCAGAGGACCTGCTGGCCTTCAGGGGGCCCTGGGGGGCCTTGAGGGGGAGGCAGGGAGGCCAGGGCCCAGCAGAGTCACCCACGTTCTCAAACGCCACGGCTGCTCTCAGCGGCAAACGGAGTTTCTTGGAACATGTTGGAGGCATCATGGCTTTTTTTTGAGAACTACCTTCAGGGGCGCTCAAAAAAGTCGAATTTGAAAGGCAAAAGTACACTGCTGGTTGAGTCTTCACTGGAAACCAAAGACACTCTGATCTCTCAAATGGCTCGATTTGATTTTATCAGAAATGTATCCACACAACAATTTCCCCCGAAGGCCGAGAACCCTGCTGAGAAATTTTAGCCTGGAGTGCACTTGGCCTGAGAGAATTTTCAACACTGGAAAAAAAAAATATAAAACGTCCCAATTATGGCGACAGTGTCGGTTATTCACTCCTAATATGCATGTGTTTATCCCACCATCTCGTCTGGTTGAAGGATGCGCGCAAGGCGATGCTCTCCCATTATTGCTCAATAATGGGCCGCGGAGATGGCGCGTCTTCGCCTTTATTTTTGCTGGCACATCCCAGCGCTGGAGCACATTAAAGTAATACAATTAGGCAACAAGGCGTCCCAGTCACTCCCACCATGTTCCCGTAACCCCCTCATTTACAACAGACAGAGACAGGAAAAAAAAATTTTTAGAGCAATTTAAGATGAGGCAACACAGGATATGTAAATTCTGTTTTATTGGCAGTCAGGGCAGCTAGCTAATTCTTCTCGAATGCCTTAGGGCCTTCAGCTCACCAGCCCCGCCGGGTCAGAGCAATTTAGCTTTAAGGCCCCATGGCGGGGAACGTCCTTGCTGTGGGCACTGTGGCCCTGCAGACGTTGTCCTGCCCTCTGGCCAGATGTTTCCCAGTCGCTGATCCGAGAAGGAGCCTGTTAAGAAGTTGAAGTTTTTACCGAGTCGGATGACTAAGGCAGTTTTTATTTTTTAGAAAATTTATTGCTCCTCCTCATTTTATTCCTCTTAAAGAAGTAGCTGCCAGGGCTTGGGAAGTTCGAGACGAACAATTTCAAGGGAAACCACTGACTTGAGTTTGAGAGCAGAGACAGAGCGAGGCAGAGAGCCCCATGCAACGCAGTGGTTCTGCAGATGCCGCAGCGGAAAGCGGCTGCTGCGAGGAGAGAGGACCCGTCCAGACGCAGAGCTCTTTGTCAAGGGCAGCTTGATCAGGACCCGCTCCCTGCGCCGGGACAGGGATTTTGCCACATTTGCAGTGAGTTATAGCAGTGTTCCAAAGGTTAGAGAGACCAGGGAAAAAGAAAAAGAAAACAATTGCCCCACTCAAGCCAGAGGTTTAAAAGCTGCAGAGCAAGTTGGGACTGGTCAAAATATGTGGCTTCGTGTCCCTGAACTTTCCTCTCCCCCTTTGCTGGGCTGGACTGTGCCCAAACCTGCTGTGGTTTAAGAGGGTTCCCAAGCAGCCAGTCCCTGGGAGTTTCTGTAACTGAGCTCTGGGCCTCCCAGGGCTGCAGAACAGAGGGCGAGGAGGAGATGGGGTGGCCTTCAACATGGCCATAGGGTGGGTGGTGGGATCCCAAGGCAGAGAATGGCCTCAGATGGGCGGAGGGGGCTGTTTCAGGGCCCGTCTCAGGGAGTCATTAGGACTACTTACTTGGACATATGTGTCACAACTGTCCACCTCCCCATCCCTCGGTCTTCTAGCAACTTCACAGACTCCACCTGGGGGCTTCTCAGACCCTCCTCTCTCATAGGTGGAGAGGCAAATGAATGCTGGCTCGAGGAGGGGACTATGGGGAGGGGTGAGTGGAAGGGGTTGAAGCATAGGCCCAGAGCTTAGGGGACTCTGAATTCAGGGATCTGGGTCTATTGGTGCCCCTTTATGTATATTAAGGCCACCCATCCTCTCCATGCTGATGGGCTTGTATTTATCAACTGGAAAAAGGTCTTCGTAACAATGGATCATCCAACCGGGGCTCCATCTTACATATTGATGATAGCGCTGCTGCACCCACCTCGCCTCTTGCCCAGGACTGGACCACGGCCGTGCCTCCCACAGCCTGGTCCTTGACCTCCCGCGGTACGTCACCTCGGGCAGCTTGTTAAAGATTCAGATTCCTGGGCCCCACGAGACCCACTGAATGTGACTCTTTGGGCTTCTTTTTGAAGTAATATTTTTACTTTCTTTTCTTTTGTGTCGAGGTAAAACTTATATTTAGCAAAGCACCTAAACCTTAAGACTTTGTCAATTAAATATGCCCCTGTAGCTACCACTCAGATCAAGACATAGAACATTTCCACCACCCAGAAGTCTGCCTTCTGTGCTTCGCAGACAATACTCATCTTCCAGGGGCAACTGCCATTCTAACTAACATCATCACAGAGACGTTTGCTGTGCTTGAACTTCGCCTACACTGAATGATGCAGGACGCTTTTGAGTCCGGCCTCTTTCTCTCAACATTATATATGTGAGATGCATCCATGTCGTTGCTTGTAGTAATTCTTTTCCATTGTGGTGTACATCCCATGGTTTGAATACACTACAACTGATGTATTTGTTCTGCTCTTGATAGTCTCTGGGTTGTTTCCGGGTTTTGGCTGTTATGCTAAAGCTGCTAAGAATATTTGTCTAAGTGTCTTTTGGTGCCCCTAAGCACTCACTTCTGCTGTTGTCCTAAAGTAAATGTGTGGTTAGCTTTGGAAGATAACTGCCAAATGGCTCTTCAAAGTAGTCGTACCAACCTATACTCCTGCCAGCAGTGAACGGAAATGTCATTTGCTCTTTCTTGTCTACACTTAGTATTGTCAGACTTTTTGATTTTAGCCATTCTAGTAGGTGCATAGAGGCATCTCCCTGTGGTTTTAATTTGTATTGCCCTGCTGGCTTACAATGTTAAGAATCATTTCACATGCTTGTTGGCCACTTGGATTTCCTCTTTCGTGAAGAGGCTAATCATGTCTTTTAAAAATGGGGTTGTCTGTCTTTTATCCTTTTAATTTGTAGGAACACCCATTAATGGTCTTTCGTCCATTGATTTGTTATTAGTAACCTCTCCAGGTGATGTAAGAACATTTGAGTCAGAGAATCACCCGGGGGTGCTCTTTAAATTGTCCACTGTTCTTGAAACATCTCTTTTCTTTTCTTCAATTTCCAAATAAGCAGCTCCCTTTCTGTCTTGTGTCCTTCTGTTATTCAGGTTATGGACACAGTGCTTTCCTCTCCACTCCTTAAAAGGCTATGTGTGGCAGAAATGGACTTCATGTATTCAATGTGCCTGTGTTTCTGTAATCGAGTTTGGCTGAGTGTAGGCTCAAAGTCTGGGGATGTTAGGGGCGTGTCCAGGCCAGCTCCTTGCCGTTTTGGCAGCATTTTACTAGCGCCATAACCTTGCCAGACATTTGTGAAGTGAGGGGAGATGGTTAGAGAAAGAGGGGTTTCAGAACTTTGCTAGCTTTGGTCCCATCACTCCACTGGCCAGGAACGGTGAAGCTCCATAAGCATCTCCCCTGTGGTCCCCAACACTGGCCTCTCTCCTCTGCCAGGAGCCCGTGAGAAGGAGGATGTATGTGCATTCAGTTTCTTTTCTGTGTTTGGGGGGTCTTGTGGATGTGACCTGCTCTGAGGCATTAGCAAGGACCTATTTCATATCCTTCCACCTCAACACCAACTGTGTAACAACCCACCTTCTAGTTGCAAGTGTTCCCATCCTATCTATGCCACCACCATAAATCAGAAGAAGGGAAACACAATTTTGTAGTGTCTGGGATCTTTGAGCTCCTGTAATCTAGGCCCCTCATTCTGTAGATGAGTGCAGTAGGGGGTACTAGAGATAGGGTCTTGTGGGAGAGTCGGCTGGTCTGCTTTTAAGCGAGATCATCGTGGAAGGACAGGCAGCTGCGTTGCCTCTGGTGGCGAGGATTGAGAGAGGGGGAGGGAAAGAGTGTGTCTTTTTTGCCTTTGGTAAGGAAGGGAGTTCCCTCTTGCTGCTCTTCCCCTCAGTGAACTGCTACTCAGGGGCCCAGTGTGGCAGGAAGTGGTGAGGTGGTGGGGAGGGAAGAAAGAGGGCTCAGTACAGTGCACGCATGTGTGTGCCTGTGTGTGTGTGCGTGTGTGTGTGCGTGTGTGTGCGTGTGTGTGTGCGTGTGTGTGCGTGTGTGTGTGCGTGTGTGTGCGTGTGTGTGTGCGTGTGTGTGCGTGTGTGTGTGTGCGTGTCCTCTCCCCTCCTTCACATCACCTCCAACTGGACACAGAGGCTGAGCCAAAATGGCCCCAGACGATGTCTACAGTGTCGTGACCACTTGTAACAACCTCTGACGATTTCGAGTGTGGAATTGGGGTGTCTGGCATGACAATGGCTCAGACAGAGATCTCTCTTTCCACCTGTAGGCTGGGTATGATGGTGAAAGTATCGGAAATTGCCCATTTTCTCAGCGTCTCTTTATGATTCTCTGGCTCAAGGGTGTTATATTTAATGTGACAACGGTGGACCTGAGAAGGTAAGACAAAGTTTCTGCAATATTGAAATAACTGGACCTAATTCTTCACACACACACACCCCTGAGGCCCACGGGTGATGTCACGGGCACGTCTATCCTCGACCAGGAGCCTGAATGGAAGCCCGAGTGTGGGCCAGGCAGAGTAATTACAGGATGGCCGGGCTGTAATCTGCACAGCGCAGGAGTGGGGGCGCCAGGAGGAACCTGCTCTCCCCGTCGCTGGTCACCCCGCACCTCTCCTGCCTCTGCAGTCCTCTGAGCACCGTTCCTGCGCGATAGCACTGGGGAGAGTTAACTCTTTGCCTCTGCGTGTAGGAAAGGGAGCACAAAGGGGCTCATCGACAACCCCATAATTTGTTAACGAATACCTTACATTTTATAAACCCACAAGCTGCTTTGAAATTCTCAAGGCTTGTTGCTCTTAAACTGGGGAGGACAGTGCTAAGCCTTGGAAATGAGTCCGAGTGCTGGCGGCTGCCGACAGACATCGCTGTTCACTCCCACCTAGGAAACCCGCAGACCTGCAGAACCTGGCCCCCGGAACAAACCCTCCTTTTATGACTTTTGATGGTGAAGTTAAGACGGATGTGAACAAGATCGAGGAGTTCTTAGAGGAGAAATTAGCTCCCCCGAGGTAGGCCTCATAAAAACGTGGTTGTCATTTCCCCTCCACGATAGATAATTCTAAAGCTCTTGGCGTTTGGTTGCTGCGGCCCCTGGTGCTGCTCACGTCCTTAGTCATGCCCGTGGTGTACCGCAGAACACACAGAGCCGGATCCGAGTGAAGGGGCCTGGACTCAGGGCTCTGCACCTGCAGCCTGGCAATTAGGGCTGACGGCAGGAAGTGGGAGGAGAAGGGTGGGTGGCGTGATAGCCATTTCTTTGGCTGCTGCTGCAAGGCGAGGGGTGCGTGTTAGGATGAAATGTCACAGAGTGTTGGCCCTGGGGGTGGGGACCCTTCTATGCCATCCTTTTCATTTTATAAGGGAATGAACTGAGACCAGCAGGGCCAGCTTGGGCCCTGTGTCCCCGGACTGGTCACTGTCAGGACAAAAACTCTCCATCCAGTACTGTTATCCCAGATTTTGTCACTTCCCAACCTTCAAGAGAAAGAAGATTAGTAAAACATTCAAGAAATTTCATTTTTATATCCACCCAGAGAAAGCCATTTTTCCCCCATTGTATTATCCTGATTCTGACATTGCTTATCTGTGATACTCCAATTTTGAACTTTTCAAGGTACCCTAAGCTGGGGACCCAACACCCTGAATCTAACTCGGCAGGAAATGATGTGTTTGCCAAATTTTCAGCATTTATAAAAAACACCAAGAAGGACGCGAACGAGCGTGAGTACCACCCATTTCCCCCATCTTCCTGTTTCCCATTTCAACACAGACTCCACTTGGGCTCTAGCACAGCTAGTGATAAAATCCCCAGAATTCTGAACCATTTCACAGAGGGTAGAGATAAGGAAATAAGGAAATAAAGAAAAACCACCTCCAACTTTGGATCTGCACATGGGTTCAAGGAGATTGAATGCTTTGTCTAGAGGTTGGGAACCCAGAAAGTGACATTTTTAGGGAAAAATATTCACCACCTAGGTGTCCCCAGCTGCATCATGGGAGTTGTTCTAAATGTTGCTCTGTCAGAGCCTGTCTCATGGTAGGCTTTCCGTAAATATGTTTGAATAAATAAATGAGTTCTAGAAGTAGCAATGTTGTGAAGACGGTAGCGTAATTTTTCAGGGAGGGATGAGTCCTTTATTCAGATATTCTGACTACACTTCCTCCCTTCCCAACGCCCGTGGCTGGCCAGCCACGTCTCAGGAAGGAAGGGTGGCAAAGTCCTGCCTTCACAGCTGCTGAAAAGTGACACTGACTTGCAAGGCCTGTCTTGGTAATTTTTTGTCCTTCGGTTTTAGTTTATGAAAAGAACCTGTTAAGGGCCCTGAAGAAGCTGGATGACTACTTAAACAGCCCTCTGCCTGACGAGATAGATGCCTACAGCACCGAGGATGTCGCTGTTTCCACCAGGAAGTACCTGGACGGAGATGAGCTCACGCTGGCCGACTGCAACCTCCTACCCAAGCTCCATATCATTAAGGTTTGTCTTTCCTCCTGACACGCACTGAGCGCACAAATGAAGCTTCGTTTTATTTTGTTGTGACTTGTGTTTGGGCCAGGCATTTAAGCAGCCTAAAATGCAGACACATGAATTAAAAACTCTAGCTCGTTTCTGTTCCGGGCAGTCAAACTTTGGGTTTCAACCCATGGAACGACGGGCTTCAGATATTCTCTGCAAGCGCCTGAGAACTTGGCCCCATCTTCTGCTTCTTTTTCAGCCTGATCCCCACAGCCTGAAGGAAAGTTACATGAAAGTGACTTGAGGAGATTCATGGGTTCTAGCTGGCATTTAACACGGGAGGCTTACAGCTGACGTGTGGAATCTGGGACTGCTAAAATGTGAACTCTGTCAATTGTTTGTGACTGCAGGGATGAACTTGGCCCTTTCTAGGGATGACAGAGGAGTGTCCTGTCTGCTCTTACACTGACCCTCGACAGCCGGGAGCAGCTGACAGCTCCTTGGCCAGGCCTCTAGCATATTTGGTGCCCTGTCTTCCCAGATGAACATAATATAAGAGTCACAGGTTACATATAGTTAAGGTTAAAGACTTTCTAGACCAGTGGTTTTCCAACATTAGTAGGCATAAGAATGGTTTGGGAATCTTTTTAGAAATTTAAGTCCCCAAACTATCACCTAACCTGGTAAATCAGAACTTCTAGGGGGTCCCCTGGAGTTTCAAGGCAGAGGGACTCCTTAGCTGCTGCTGCTTCTCAGCAATGCTCCCAGCCTCTCTACGCGTGCCGAGGTGGTTGTTATCACTGTTGCTCTGCCCTTGGCCTTCAGCAGCCCCAGATGGCTCAGGAAGAATTGCTGGACTTGCTCTGGGGCATCTTGGTTATTAAAGTCCTAGCAGGTACAGAGCTAGGGCCCTTGGTATAGAGTAGGGGATGAGAGAGAACTAGGTACATACAACTCATTGACTGTGTGCTCTAATAACACGCTACTCGGCATTTAGAAATCACACATTAGGTTCACGCAGTCTATGGTGCTGGTGCTGTGGGCTGCCAGCCACGCTGATGATTCCATGCCATTCCCTTGCCTTTGTCGCCTGCCTTTCTTCTTCCTCCCTCTTTCAGTCTCAGTCCTGGCCCTGTTTATCTTCCTTCTTCTCTTCCCTGTTGTGCTCGAGGGTACCAACCTGAAACACAGGCCTTCAAGCTGCCGCCCGTCCCTCAAGTGAGTGTTTTTCGGCAGCGTTGCCAGTGTCCCGACATCTGAAACTTAATGAAAGTGTCTGAAAAACCTGCTGAATGTGGGAACCATTTTCCAACAGCACATTCATACAGTTGTGTTTTGATTTAGTCCCTTTTAGTGAATGCTTTTCGTCATTGCTGTGACTATGAGTGTGTGACATGGCAGAGGCACGTGGAGGTTGAGGAGGAGCAGGAGAATATCCCAGCCACACAGCATTAGTCGCCATCCATGTAGCTCCTATGGAGAAAGGCTACTGTAAATTTCAGTAGAAGGGCTATGCTTTGGGGTGAGGTAAAGCAGCCCATGGCTCCAATGCAAGACCCAGCAGCAAAGTCTTCCAAGCCATTTAGCACTCAAAATACCGAACAGCTTAATGATCTTCCAGGATGGAGCACTTCTGAAAGGAAACAAGAATCAATCTAAGGGAATTATAGTAAAAGATGAGAGAGTGAAGGGATTTATAATTTATTCCCCTTCCTGAAACCCAGCGAAAACAATATGAAAAATAGTGTTAGTTTCATCTTCCATAAAACTACAAGGAGATGACAGATTACCAACTTGAAGGCTACGAAACCTCGCCCAGTGGGCGGTGCCGCAGAGCCGCTGCAAGTTTCTCTGTATCTTGAGCAAAGTTGAGATTTCTCAAACGTCTCTGCTTGAGGACTAGGGCATGTGGCGGGCCATGACAGGACATCCCTATAAAGATCACTTTTGAGCTGAGATCTCCAGGGAGGCAGAGCTGAAGGCAGAACGCAACAGAGGTGCCATCTTTCTAGTCTGTGACCCAGCCCCAATCCATAGGAATGGTCTGGACAAGTGGAATGGGAGGAGAGAAGGGAAGTGGCATTTTGCTTCATGGCTGCGAGCAGAGAAAAGAAACAAGCTCCCAGCCAGTGGAGAGAGACTATAAATTGCCCAAGTTTCATTTTTAGCCATGGTGACCTTCTGCGTAATCTGTGAGCCTCAGAGCGGAGTGGAGGATGCCCTAACCCAAACCCTAACTCTAACTCTGATGCGTCCCTGGGGCAGAGTAAAGAGCAGTGTTTAGGGACAGGGTGCTTGAGAGTTGATCTCCAGATTGATCTGCCACTGCCCTGTCTCACTCCCTTTGTCACCGCACTATCTTTAGGCAAGTGGTAGGTCCAATAGATCCGCCTCATCAAAAGAGGATGAAAGAAGCCAAGTGAGACCTCTGTGTAGATAAAGATGATCAAAATCAAAAGGGAAGGGAAAAAGACAAAGAGAAGGACCAAAAAAAAAAAGAAAAGAAAAAGAAAAAGGCAGAAGATATATATATACACACACACACACACACACATACATATATGAATGATCAAGAACTGCTCCAATAAATTAAAGAACATTCCAGACAAAAATTTTTCTGTAGTCTCAAAGAGAATATAAACCTTTTGAAAATAAGCTCAAAGACAAGATACAAGATGTCCAAACATATAATATCACAGATGGATAAACATCGGGCTGGCAGAGCTCATGAAAAAAGTAAAGACAAAATAATTGCAGAGATGAAAGTTCTATTAGACGAAGCAAGATGCAGAAAAAAATATTGCAGAAATTACTCATGGATTTGGAGGATAGTCCTGAGAAAATCATCTAAAATCAAGTGGAGAAGACCGGAGATAAAGGTGCTTGGAGAAATCCTAGATGTCCATGATCAGGAACAGAGAACAGTAAAGGAAAAAGACAAAAAATGAAGGTTCAAGGGCAAAACTATTTTAAATGAAAGGATGACCTGAACCGTCGGTTTCAATGACCTGCCACGTTTAGGGAAATATCGCCTGCGAACGAGCGACACACTGACGTGTATTTCACATGGTCCTGAACTTGGAGAATAAGAAAGAACCCTTTGGACATCTTACTTCAATAACAAAAACAGTGATAATAACAAAAATAATAAAGTAAATAGTGAAGCCACCTACATAAGGAAGAAATTCACATGAGCCCCAGATGTCTTCATGACCACATTAAAAAATCAGAAAATAATGACTTAATATCTACAGAGAATTAAGAGAAAGGGTATGTGACACAAGAACTTTATATCCAGGAAAATTCTTGTTTTTGCCTAAACTTCTTATGCTGTGGTTTCCTTTTAGAATGAGTAAATCTTTCACCTAAATTTTTGGTCTCTCATTTTTAAAAATAAGATTGCTGTATGAGGAAACAATCGAATGATAATCAAAATCAGAATCAAGGAACAGCGAAGATGTGTGATATTAAAGGACAGGTGCTAAACAGAGAACTGATTTTTATCTGAAACTGGTACTAAGACCAAACAACTGGGGACTGTAGGGACAGAACAGGGTCAGAGTGTGGTAAACGTGGCTGTTGTTATACCCACTGGAAGGAGAGTAAGGGAGAGGAAATGGAAAGAAGCGTAGAGACACGAATTTCCTCATTTGTCATTATCAGAAGTCAATAGATAGCATCTAAATTTAATAAATCAAGACACAGAGAATTCCTATTATTTAATGTTACCCAGGAAACCACTGGAAGGGTTAAAAGAGACCATAAAACTTCTAAATTACCAGAAAGGGAAACACGTACAGAACACACATCTACACAGAAAGACAGAAAACAAAGTAAATAGTATATTCAGAAAGCATAATATAAAATGAGATTCCATCTATAGGAGGCATGCACCTAACAGATTGACTCAGAAATGTTAAAATAAAAAGGTGGACAAAGATAAACTAGGCAAATGCGAACAAAGAGAAAGCAGAATTCTTAACATTAACATTGATAAGTTTGAATTCAAATAAAAGGTGTTAAACAGTTTCTAAAAGTCACATGGTCCTGTTTTGCTGCCACACTGTGTCCATGGCTGCTGATGTCTGAGAAGTCAGTCCCAAAGGCCTTCTAATCTCTGGTCAATCCCATGCCCACTTCCTTCAGACATCCCGAGAACCAGTGGGATGGGAGATGACAGAGCACAACTAGCCTGTGTAGCCCTGGGTCCCTGTTACAGGTTGAATTGTGATTGTGTCCCCGATTCATATGTTAAGGTCCTAACCCTGAGTACTTCAAAATGTGACCTTATTTGGACATAAGGTCTTTGCAGATGTAATTAGTTAAGATGAAGTCATATTGGAGTAGAGCGAACCTAATCCACTATGACAGGTGTCCCCTTTGCGAAACGGGGAAATTTGAATACAGAGACGTGCACACATCGAGAAGGCCATCGGAAGGCTGGAGTTACTCTTGCAGCCAAGCAACTCCCAGAATCTCGGGGGGAAGCCTGGGACAGAGCCTTCCCTGGAGGCTTCAGAGGGATCATGGCCCTGCTGACACCTTGGTTTTGGACTTGGAGCCTCTAGAACTGTGAGAGAAGTTTCTCTTGTACTGAATCACCCAGTTTGTGGCACTTTGTTAGGGCAGCCCTAGGAAACTGATGCAGCCCCTCGTGGTAGGCACCTTCTTTGAGACCAGTTCCCCGACTGTACCCCAGCTGTGGGAGGGAGCATCGCATTCCACTGTGTTCTCATGATGTTCACTCTCCACTGCTCTTTCCTCACATCCACTGTCCCCACGAGGGCAGGGATTTGTGTCTGCTTTGTTCGTGAACCTACCCTCTCTGCAGATGATCCTCTTCTTGGCACAATGATGGAAATCTTTAGGAGTAACACGCACAGGTATATGGGGTTGCAGGAGGTGAGCTTAGCAAGAAGGAGAAAGAGAGGGCGCTTTCCAGTGACCCTGGTCCCATAGGCAGAAGATCTGTCATCAGTCTTTGTTCATACAGCACCAAATAACATAGTAGCAGAACACAGGAAAAGAAAATTCCAGGAAACACGAGAAGCCCACGAGAGCACAGAGCGAATTTGTGCCAGCAGATCCCAAGGCCCATCTATGCTAAGTTGGTGGACAGGCCCGAGCAGAGCCGCTGTTTTGGTTCTGGAAACTTTGTAACCTTTCCCAAACCCAAGATGCTCCTACGCAGTGAAAATGCCACGGTGGGTGGCCCGAGCAACTGCAGGACAGCGTCAGGAGGTGAGGAAGAGAGTCTATCACACGCCTCGAAAGGACAGGTTGTCTGATTTGATTGCTTACGTGAGTGGGTTTTCCCTCTACTGATCATGCCCTCTTCCTTGCAGATTGTGGCCAAGAAATACAGAGATTTCGAATTTCCTTCTGAAATGACTGGCATCTGGCGATACTTGAATAATGCTTATGCTAGAGATGAGTTCACAAACACATGTCCAGCTGACCAGGAGATTGAACACGCATATTCAGATGTCGCGAAAAGAATGAAGTGAAGCGAGGTGTTTTTTGTCTGATCTCTTGGTTGAGTGGGAAAGGGCGTGTTCTACGCATTTCACCCCAGTAACCATCCTTTGCAAAATAGCGCCCAGAGTGTGACCCACCCAACCCCAACTGACACATGGCCTTGTCATTTGTCGACTCACTTGTGTATCTGAATATACCAGTATCTGTTGTTACACACGCCAGCTGTCCAGTTTATGTTAACTCGTACCTTTGACATTCACTGACATTGGAATCGACGCTATTTAAGGCATGAGTTTTGCATTTTCAGTTTGAAAGCAAATTAGTTTGGGTTCGATTTCTTCAATTTTTAAAAAATTGTTCTGTCTCTGATAGTTTCCATGATCATGTATTGCCTGTTTTTTTCCTCTAAAATATTAATTTTTTCAAAATGGAATTACTGTTTTTGTAATTACAAAATGATGCACATCTGTTTTAACATTTTAAAACAATATCAGCGAGGATAAAAAAGGAAGTTAAAAAAAAACATCTAAAATTTTATTCCACTTAATTACTGATGACTTATTGGTGAACATCTTCCCAATCTTCAGTCTATCGCCCACATATGCACATGCACGCCACACACAATTCATTCACATGTGGCATCGCGTTACTTTATTTTAAAGGACTGGTGAGGGGGCCTCCTGGTAATGCCTTGATGATCAAGCATAGAGGACCTGAAACAAACAACAAGATTGGACACTGCAGGGCTGGAGAGGATGCTTGCGGGTTTAAAGCGCAGGTTTTAAAGACGTGGGGAGTTATAGAGCCTCAGACCCGCGGGGACCAGTGAGAACTGGAAGTCCAGAATGATCTCTACTCTGCCTTGTTCCAGGAAAGGCAACGGAGAAGCGTGACTATCTGTGTCTTTGGTTCCAGCTTTCTTTCCAGAGCCTTCTCTTGCTCCCTCCCGTCTCACAGAGACTGTGCCTTCAGGACCCAACATTAGCTGCAGCTTGGAGAATCTCCCTGCCCTGCCTTGAAATGTGAACCAAGCACACCTGGATTCCTTCCAGTGGCCGCTCTCTCTGCAACCCAACACTGCGCTTGGTCGGTGATGCCGGGGACCCGTGGGGCTGGCCTGGTCATTGCTCCTCTGCCCTTCCTAGGGACCAGGCAGGGAAAATCCAGGGAGATTAAATTCATGGTGATTTGTCTTGGGCAGTTCTGGTAACCGGTCCAGTCGGGGAGGAAGTGGAAACTATTGACTCACAAGTTTCTGGTGTGTCTGTGGCTTTCCCCATCCCTGTCACCGGCCTCTCATCACAGCTTCGTGTGTGGGCTGGGTGGCTGGGCTCTAACCCCAGGCATGGAAGGGAAGACGTGAGGTCGTTTAGATACTCATCAAGACCTCACAGGATTTGAGCCTTATCTCTCAGACTGTGCTCCTCTGACACTCACATCTCGCAGAAAACCCTTCTTGTCGAGTTGGTTGTGGTGTGTGTTTGATGCTAAAGTGCTCTGTGAGCCATTCATTTGAAAGACAGCAAAAGGCGTTAACAGTAACTATCCTGAGATTAAGTGAAAAATGTCTAGTAAAGGAAACAAAGTCTTTAATATTGTGGCCCCTTCTGTTCCTGCTTACCGCTCCCGCAGTCTCACCCCTGCGGCGTGCCGTCCTTGCCCACCGTAGGTTTCTGGAGGTCGTGTCGAGCATGTGTCACTCGTGTCCATGTTGTTTCACATCTGTTTAGGCGTCCGATTTTTAAATCTAGTTTTATAACGTCACATTTAAACTTGGTAAACAAGTAGACTACCAGATGTTACTAGTGTTAACTTTTTATTTTTAGATGTTAAAATGATCTACATAAACTCTATGTGCCTTAAAAAATTAAACAAATTATAAAGATGTTTAAATGGAACCAGTCTCTTTAATTTATTTATTTTGTTTGTTTTATTTTGCATTCCCCATTTAGATTCAAAGAAATAAAATGAATGGTATGGGCTTCCTTTAGAATGATGAGAGCAAATTTGAACCAGAAATTGTCAGTATTTTGAATTAGAGATAACCTATATTTCAATCGTGAACCACAGAGATATTTTAACGGAGCCTTAAGGAGGCCTAAATGACACATGTGAACTGTCTTTGTCCAGGTGACTAAAAGAGAGGCCCTGCAGGCTATTCCACTCTTACATGTTAGGAAAGGGGCTAGTCCTGGGCTGTCTTTCCCTTAGCGCTGCCTCCAGCCTCACCCCCAGCCCCACCCCACACCCTTTTCCATCCTCCCAAAAGCAACCTATGTGTGGGGAGGTGAGAAATACTCCAGGGCTGTTGTGCTGGTTTAAAATCTTTACTACAGTGTGTTTTTAAAAACAAAATGCATTTGTTCTTTAAAACATGCCATACAGAAAACAAATATGGACAAACAGTGAACAAAGCCCTGTTTTGAGGCTGACCATGCGGAAGTTTCTCTGGATGGAGAGGATGCCATTCTCGCTTCTGGTCGCCCAAGAGGCTCGAAAATTAGGGGAGAAAATATGAATAGCTTTACTTTGAGAATACAGAATCTCCAAAAGCAGGCTGGAAAAGAACACAAGAGCATCACGAGGCTGCACCATGTAGATACTGCCCCACAAATGGGGATGGCGAGGACAGAATTCAGGCCAGGAAAAAAGACTTTTAGAGACCAGAGGTCTCAGTAATTTCCAGTCTACAGGTCTGTCTCCAGGGATTAAATGAATGTGCAAGACCGTCTCCCCTACGTAGGCAGATAGACACACAGCACACACACACTCACATAACATACACAGACACACACACACACACAGACACACATATGTACATACACACACACATACATACACACATGGCACTATCACAAACACACTCTCATGCACACAAGCGTATTTACACAGATGCACATTTGCGTGCACAACATGCAGACACACACCGCAGGGTGAGCTCCCCTTACCACCCTCCGGGACTGCCCAGTAACTCACTCTGAGCAAAATCCCACTAACCCCCTCAAGTCCCCACTTTAAGTGATTCATAATTAGGCTTTGGGAGAGTTTTAGAAGAATGGCTTTTTTTTTTTAAACAAGAAAATTCCAACCCTTCTTTTATTTTATACTTAAAAGAACCATCCTAAGAACATATAATTCACAAAACCCTTGATGCTTAAAATGGATACGTTAAGGTGTGGGGACGTTTGTCCATATTACAAAATGGCTTCTCTTTCCATTTGATGGTTTGATTCTAAACTCTTCTATATGGTGTTTCCCTTCAGACATTTGAATTTTGGTTTGATGCTACAGCACTTCAAGGCATGCCACTTTATAAGGTCACATGGATGTGTGTGGTTCCCAGTCACAGAGGGACTGACTACACTATTCAGGGACTTTGTAGGCACCGGGCCACCAAGGAGCCCCTCCTGCCGCGTGCTATGTGCTGAGGACCCAGCAGGGGCCAGCGTCTGCCATTGTAGCCATTATGTAGGGGTCTAGCTGAGTCTTCGATGACCCTTGCCTTGAAGGAGGTCACTTAGTCAGGGAGAGCTGAAAGCTGCCATTTTCTGTCCCCAAACCTGTGGAGGTGGCCAAGTGAAGACATAGTCCAGGGAAACTGTGTTCAGAAGCATGGAGTTGCACATTTGTGAGGAGGGTGTAAGTTCTGGGGTCAGGCCACCAGTGGGATCTTATCTAACCTGTTGCTCGTGTCGTCTTTCTTAGGGACCATCCACAATCTGTCTCGCCCCAGTGTTCTTGCTCCCGTGGCCCTGGCCATTTCAGCCTGTCCTAACAACCCTCATTTGTCTTGATAACACTGCCTGCTCCCATCTCTTCCTCCACCCCCTTCTGTAGTGGGTTCTGTGATGTACTCCTGCATGACTGGATAAGGACAGGGGCCCTCTGAGGCTGGCCTGGGAATACCATGGCTCAGCAGACCTGCTGAGCTCTGTCCCCTGCAAAGTCATCTTCCCTGGTGGCTAATGCTGTGAATCTGAGTTAGGTCCCTCTCTGAAGCTCTTACCTTCTACATACATAACCAGCACCTGCCTTGTGAGGCTCTTCAAATCTTTTGGATCCCCTCAGGTTCCAGAATAATCCCAGAATAATTCCAGGTCCCAGAAGGAGGGAAGCAGTCTTTGCTTACCGTGTTTTGTTAAAGGGGTGGATTCAAATAGCATTAAGGTTTTTGTTTGCTTGCTTCTTTAAGTACTAACAAGTCAAACGTGTCACTGATCTCTTCCCTAGCAGGATTTTTGAAGCAGTACCAGTGTTCGAAAGACAAAAACAACAAAATCTCCTGCAGACATAGGGTCCTAAATCTGCCCCCCAAAGCCTCTGATGTATCTGAATGATCATTTAATCTCTCAGCCTCATTCTTCTCATCTGGACAATGGGAGCAAGATCTCACAATCATGTAGCGGGGATACAGAAGTTCTCTGCTAAAGCTACAAAGTAGCCGGCGGCCCACAAATTATTTTTTTCTGGAACTTGCTCTTCTTATTGGGTAATGGTCCTAAAAATAAGTTGCCAAAATGGACAGGGCATGGATTGACAATTTTGTAGGAACTTGAACTTTTCTTACCGAGGTGGAAGGCAATTATGCTCTGAATTCCTGGTTCCCTCCAACAAAGCACCACCCCTGAGATTGTGGTCCCTGACAATTCCCGGCTCCCCTTTGGTCAGTCACTGGGGGCTGTCTAGGCCTGGTCCAGTTGTCTGTCAGCTGCGCCGTGAACTGGACAGCCTCCACGGTGGAACGACAGCTTTCTCGGGGACCCCTCTCCTTTGGCTTGGAGACACTGGTTTCAATTGCATGACATTTACTTGAGGCCCTGAGAAGTGGAAATGCAGATCTGTCAACGTGGGTGGTCTCCAGAAAGCCAGAGCTGGTGGCTTGCCCAGGCCAGTCTCCTGCTCACCACCAGGTGGCGCCTCCTCCCATTCCCTGGAGCCAGGTGGGCCTCGCTCCACCCTCTGCTGAGATTCACTTGAGACAGGGTGTAATTGGGTTGACCCCTCTGGCCTGGTATAGACATAGCCTTGGG